GTATGTTGGGATCAGATCAGGTACAGTTCCCACACTGTGTCTCCAATGTTGTCCCCTGTAGGGCTATGGGTCATAGTGGGACTGGCCATGAGGTCCTCTCTGGACTGACTGCTCTAATTGGGATTATTGTCCTCAAGACCTGGTGGTCTAGGATGTGCTCCACTCTCTCCACCTCTCCCTTCATCTGCTCCCGTGTGCTCCATTGGATATGTCTCTCACCCAGAGCTGCAGATTCAATGCTTTCTTTTCAAATAAATTCTTCTGTGGGGAGGGGCAGGTGTCCAGTTAGTATTTGGGATTGGGGTCGGTCCCCCAGACCTCTCCACTGGTTCCCTACTCCACGCTGGCATGTTGCATGCGCATCTTGGAGCACTGGGTTGAAGTCTGGTCCCTCTTTTCCTGTGGAGATATGAACACTACCCTCCCCTTGGGTGGGTTAGTGCCCTGTGCCCCTGCTACCCAATACTTTTAAAATTATTATTTTCCTTCGCCCACCTCCTTTTTAGTTGTCTACCATGTGTATCCCTGTATTTGATCTGTTCACCTTGTTCTTTTATTTGGTGTAAGCCTTTCATCCTGATTCATTCTTGTGCATTAGGGATTCCAATGTTCTCTGCAATATTTATTGAAGATACTCTTTCTCATTGAACAGAGTTCATTTATTATTTTTATTTCCTTTGTGAGTTATTTACTTAAGTCCTTTGCTCACTTTTCTATCAGTATCATCCTTATCTTTTAACCTACAGAAATTATTTACATATCACATCTCATATATGCCAGGCAACTGTTCAGCGATTCAGCAAATTCCATTTCTTCATCCCTATCAACACACGAAGGCAGCTGGCCTGCAGCCTGTTTTTCTATGACTTCCCACAAGTTTATGTTGTTTTGTTTGTAGGATATTTAAAAACAAAAAATAAACACAAGAGCCATTTGAGATGATAGTGTCTGACCCAGAAAGCCTAGAATATTTCTTATCTGGCCCTTTAAAAGAAAGTTTTGTAGCCCTCTGCCCTAGGTACTTGGTCTGATCTGGATGGTGGTTATCTGTGGCTTCCAGCTCAGGGGAAGCCGAGTTGAGTGGAGTCTATGGCAAGAGAGTTCCTTTTAACTAATTGATTTGGAAACTGTACATACCACTTTTGTTTACTCTCTGGGAAGTAGAATGCATGGCTGAGTAGCTGTAGGTCCATAAGTAGGGGAGAGTAGCTGTGGGTGAACAACCAGCAGTGTTCCCATGTGTGTGGGACTTTGATTAACTGGTTTAATGAATAAATGAATTAATTTTTTCCAGTTAGTCCATTAACTTTGTTTATCTTATTCTTATGTCTAATGAAAGCTGGAGGTCAACGCTTCAGTTAACATATCCTTGTTCAAGGCTATCATGGAGCCAGGAATGGAAAAATAATAGCATTTTTCCATGATAATTTTGAAGCCCCTTTGTGTACTCCAGTTTATTTCTTCCTAACCCGGTCCACTCTTTCAACCATAGGGATGTCTCTGGCCGCATATAGGACTAGCAGATGAAGAGTATACAAACAATGAGTGTAGAGGTAAATAACATGGGATTTTCCTTTCTGCACTGAACCATCTAAAGCTCCTCCCCCTTGTAGGTGGACATACAGCCCCACCTACACTGTGGCCCACATTAGCACTCTCCCCTTCACAAGGCCTCCGGTGGACTTTAGTTGCAGCTAAGGGATTACCCATAGTTTTAACTTACAGGCGAATCCTCAGTCACCACCTATGTCCCACAGGACAGGCACAGCTACTGAGAGTCTTTTCTCCCCAGTAAGCTCATCAAACCAAGGCCAAACTCACTGCCATCGAGTCGATACTGACTCCTAGTGACCCTATAGGACAGGGTAGAACCACCCCTGTGATTTCCAAGACTGTAACTCTTTGTGGGAAGAGAAAGCCCTATTTTTCTCCTGTGGGGTGGCTGGCTGGTTATTAGAACTGTTGACCTTGTGGTTACTACCAGCCCAGTGTACAACCACTACCACTACACCAGTAGGGCTCCCCACAGAATACTCCTATTATCTTCGTATCTCTTACTTTGGCATGCCTTTTAGGGGGTTTGATAAGAAAATTGGTGTATTTGCTATTTAGGAGTGTCCTTTGCTTGTGATTTGTTTCGAGCTACTTTACTCTGCTCATGTTTTGATCAGTTCACTTCTGTTTGGGTGTGTAGCCAGTTTCTCCAGTGTTTCTACTGTGATGGCCTCCTTTCCTGCTTGACAGCCATAGAAATTTGAGAGGGAATAGAAGTAAAAGCATGTTTTCACTTGGGACTCAGAAGTAGATTTGTATGGAAGAATAATTTTGGCTCTAGAGGGAGAGAAGGTTGGAAGGGGGCAACTGTGGTCATAGGGAAACCATAAGTGAAATATGACCAATTATTAAAGCAACAACTACAGGACCATTTCTCATATAGAACAGTACAGAATTTAAGGTAGTTCTCATACACAAGACTTGCTCCTTTAATCATCAGAGTTCTGGGATGTAGTCAGGATGTCTTAAAGATTAATACTGATGTTGTGGCAACCAGCCCAATGCCATAGTGCCAGGTTTTCTGGATTTATCCTACTGCCTGTAAGTCAGGAAAGGGTTCAGTCCTCCTATTAGATAGCCTGTCCCTTTTGCTTGGATGAGAAAGGGGCCCTTTATGTCAGATTAAGGGCTTCTTGTTGATTATAAGAATTTATCAAAGCTTAAAACAGACTTAAAGTCTGACTTCAGACTTCTTTTGAGATAAATGGCTCTGGCAGACAATGGGCATTGACAGGGAGAGAGACTGGAGGGAAAGGTAAGGGGCCTGCAGCATTTGGGGGAACAGGAAAAAGTATCAGAGTATATCAGTGATTTCATAGGATAAAACATACAGGATCATTGGGTTTTGTCTTGAGTAGCTGAGTATTATAAAGGGTAAGTCATAAAATATTGCTACAAATCAGAGACCTTTATTAAACAAAAAATGTAAAATTGGGAAACTATTATTTCTCAGCATAGCCTTTATCCAGGTCTATACATTTCTGAAGGTGATATTTCCATCTTGCCAACCTTTCCCTTGAAGGCTGTGCTCTTAGGTTTCTGTTTTGTCAAAATCAGCGTTTTGGTAACTTCTGTAGACTCATTATATTCTTTTTCAATGTTCTTTTGAGTTTGGGGAACAAAAAAGCCTGAAGGGGCAAGATTTGGGATGTAGGATGAACACGGAATTCCAAGAAACAAGTTGTCATAACTTTTTGAAGTGACCCCTCCACTTAGAATTTAACTGGCCCCGAAGATCCCTACAGAAGTCATTGTTTTGATTGGACCTTTTTGGGCAAGTACCTAATGAGACTAAGGCAAGTGTATCTTTCAGATCACTAATGACAGAGGCATGCTTTGTGTGGAACCTACCATGCATATAAAAATGGGAACCCAATAGCAATACATTTTGACTTACCCCTGTATTTGTTGTATAAAATTAATTATACTTCAAAAACTTTTTATTGTGTGACCCCTCAGGGAAACACGAGGAAACATTTAAGCTGAGTAAAATTATGAATTTACAAGCACACTGTGATCATAAGTGGTGATACTAATTAATCACTTCTCTGCTATAATCAGAGTAATGTTTATTTTTTTTCTTTCTCTTCAGTTGGAAGATGCTGGTTCAAGTAGTTTAGATAATCTACTAAGCAGATATATCTCAGGCAGCCACTTACCCCCTCAGCCAACAAGTACCATGAATCCCTCCCCAGGACCCTCTGCCTTGTCTCCTGGATCATCAGGTAAAGCAAGCTATCTAATTTCTTGTCATAAAGAAGGGGGGAAAGGAATCTGTCTTCCTTCCAATTTTTTCCAATTATTCTATTTTGGTTTACATATTATCGGCAATCTTAATAAACTTAGAATTAATTTAAAAATATTTTTATTGATATATAATCCATATATGCTTCTATAGTTCAGCTATGTTAAAGAGTTATATAATCACCATTGTAATCATTTCCTTATTAGCTCCCCATTTCCTTTCAATCTCCCCCCCTTCCCATATCCCCAATAAGCCATTAAACCAATTACAGTATTGTCTTCATAGCTTTGCCTATCCTGTATTTCAGGTGCTGGAAAACATACTGCACCCCCCCACCCCCCAAAAAGCAACAACAATATCAAAATAAACCAGAGGAAAAACCTCATTCTGGGAGGAAAAGACAATATGTGTTCATAATCTACCCTGTTTAGAAATTCAAAATATTTCTCCCAACAGGCTATTTTCATACTTTTTTTGCTGGGTTTGTAGGTGCATGCACCTGCCCTGGAACCCTGGGTGTTGGGCTGTTATTTGCAAAAATCTGGCAGTTGAAATCCAACAGCCTGCTCCTCAGGAGGAAAATGAGGCTGACTGATCCCTTAAAATTTTACCACCTCAGGAACCTATGAGCAGAAAATCAACTATAAATTTTTAGATAGGAAATTCTAAAACACAACTAATGTTACTGGTAACCATTAAAATTTGACTAGTCATGTTCATTAGATATAGATTTGTTCCAAATTTCAGTTGTCTTGTCCCAGGTGATTCAATTAATGTTTTATGAATGAATAAATGAAGCAGTTCCAAATAGGTTGATAATTATTAAACAAGTTTTAATAATTGAGTAATTGTTATTTTTCACTAAAGTAGACCACTGGTTATTTCTTGAGGGAGAGAATTTGAATTTAAATGCAGGTTTTGGGTGAGATAAATCATTAATTTATTTTAGAGCCACCTCTTTTTTTAGTTTTGATGAAACTATTCTAGAATTTCTGAAAGAAAGAATAATTAGTGCAAATCTAAGTATGATATTTTAACAGATGAATGCAAAGGGATGGCAGGTCGCTTTCTCTGTAAGTGACAGTTTTCATTAACTGGGTAGTATTTTCAGAGGGTTCTAAGGTAGGCTCTGGGCTGAGCCGAGACAAAAACTGGTACTCATGCCAGTCTGACTGAATGACTAGGTGATAAGAGGAATTGCTAAATTGGTTATGATCACCTTGACTTTCCTAGCTAGTAGTGGAATTATAGTTATTCTTAAATGAACTGTTAATTAATTTCGATGTATTCCTTTTGTAGGTCTATCTAATTCTCACACACCAGTGAGACCCCCGAGTACCTCTAGTACTGGCAGTCGAGGCAGGTGAGTATAACATTATTACTTTTTTCTTTTTCTTTTGGAAAAGAGTAAAGTATTTTTAAAAAGAAGACCATTATAATTAGCTCCCATATATTTACCACATGGCTTCAGTAATTATGTTCTAGTCAGTATTACTCCTGCTTTATTTCCTCCCATAGTCATATCTGCTCTGGAGTAGTTTACATCATATGAATTCATTTATTTCTACTTCAGTATATATTGCTAACTGGTGAGCAATGATAAGAACCATTACATACAAAAAAGTTAATGTATTTTTCCAGTAAATATCCAGTTATCAGCTTCTATTTTAAGCAAATCGTTTGAAAACTATCCAAATGAACTGTATATGTTGCCTTTGGCTGATAAAATGATATTGATGTTTTTTCCCTTTTAATAACTGATTTATTAAAGAAATGTAATTCTCTGTCTTATAGAGTTTTTCCCATTTCCCCGTCTTCACTTTGACTTACGTGTCTCTCCTGTATTTTCTGTATGTTGGTAGTTTTATCAGGAGGACTTCTGAGGCTCTGTGTGGATTTGGGAAAGGAGAGGTGAGAGACATCACTCGTGATGTGTACTCTTAGGCATATAAGGTCTGAGAATCATTGACTAGATCTTTAATTTTGTCAGTGGTTGAAAAATGATTAGTGTATCATTTATGCTTGGTTAATTACTACTTTTAAATACTTCTTTAAAAGGCATGTTTCTGTATAACCATTCGGTTATAAGAAAGGCAATGTAAATACGTAGTTTCTCTTTATTTACCTGTTCTCATAGTAATACCTTAGTTCTCAGTGTCCATCATTGTAACAGATGAGTTTTATTATCTTTATGAATTTAGATGTTTAAACATTTTATGTAGTTTAATCCCCTATAGGTGCTACTCTTTAAATTGATGTTGGAGTTGTCACTAATTTGACCCTTTAAAACATTTTCAAGGTAGCTCCTTAGTTCTTTTTTTAAAATTTTATTTATTTAAACAATTGCGGGGAGTATCCTTAGTCCTTTTGATAAGCACCCTTTTTTCCCTAGCATGATAAGACTTCCAGTTTTGTTTTATATTCCTCATGCAAACCTGGAATTATCCATGTCTCCTAGAAACCCCAGTCATGTTAGCAAGCAAATAAGTGTTTGGAGAAGGGCTTTGAACCATGTCTCCCATTCAGCTGTGGCCAATGAAACGAAATGCAACATACTCCAGTTTTACAAATCTGGGCTGCAGTAGATGGATAACGGGGGAGAACTTATGGGTTTCCTCCCTGCTAGAAACTTAGTATTCCTTTTAGAAAACAATGACAGCATGCATGCTGCATAGCAGCCATAATCTTTGGACCGACAAAGTCGGAAACCATAGTGCAGCATTTTCTGGTCTTGCTACTTAATTTTACTGTCTCCTGTATTTTCTGTACATTGGTAGTTTATCAGGATTGATCACACTCAGGTTGGATTTTGGGAAAGGAGAGATGAGGCACATCACTGGTGCTGATACATACAGAATTTTGCTCTGTGTTCTAGATAAGATCTATAAATGATCAGTCATTTGCCTGTCCTTTAATTTGATTATTAATGGTTTTATTGCATGCTCTGGAAGAGCACAACTTGTGAAACATATGCAAATGGATTACAAACCAAACTCCCTGTCAAGGGGTTGACTTGGACTCCTGACCCCGTAGGACACACGGGAACTGCCCTTGTGGGTTTCCGAAACTATACATTTGTATGGGAGCAGAAGCCTTTCTTTCTTGTAGCAGCTGGTGGGTTTGAACTGCTGACCTGTAGTTAGCAGCCCACGCATAACCCACCACACCATGAGGGCTTCTTAAATTTAACTCACTCACTCATTGCTACTGAGTAGATGCTGACTCATAGCAACCCCACAGGGCAGGGTAGAACTGCCCTTGTGGCTTTCTGAGACTTTAAGGAGGTAGAATGCCTCAATTTTCTCCTGCTGGTGGTTAGGAACTGCTGACCCTGAAAATTGCAACTCAGTGCATAATCACTGAGCTGCCAGGACTCCCACTCCTATCTCTCTCTCTCTCACACCTATCTATCTGTCTGTCTGTCTATCCATCCTAATCTATCATTTACTTTGAAGAAATGGCCTTTGCAATTATGAGGGCTAGGAAGTCCTGGCCTGTTATCTGTGGGTCAGGTCAGGTGATAAGCCTAGAAAGACCACTACTAGGTCAATGGGTGATTAGGGTTTGGTAATCCAAAATACATAGTAAGGTGGCTGGGTAGAGACTTCTGTAGGCTTAAATTTTAAGAAACCAGGTCAGTTGGTGGTAAGAGTTCAGGGTGGAGAAAGAGTGTGATATTTGTGAGGATGACTTTTTATATATGGGAGCAGATTATACCCACAATGAGACCCTTTTTTCAACTGATTGGCTGCTCACGTCAGGTCACAAATAAGGGTGAGTACATAATGTTTGGTAATTGAGAATCGTCACCAGCCAAGTTGACACAGCATTAACTATCACCTGGGATATTGATTGCTCCTTTCTCCTCCTGTTAAGAGCCAAACTAATCTTTCTTTTAGTAGTGATATCATAAAATCACTATTGTTGATGTTCTTTCTCAGATATTTGGGAGTAGAGAAAAGTGGAAAACTACTTTTGTAAAGAAAAACAATCTATTCCACAGGCCAGAGAGACTCTTGTTTACTATTATCCCTTAAATGATTTACTGTACAAGCCTCAAACCATAAAATGCTCCTTTTAGGATCTTTTGAAAGAATTTGAAGTTAGGCTTATTCCATACTTCACTGTAGCAAGAGGAGGTGTCCTTCTAAAAGCTTAATAAATTGTTGCCTTTATCTTAATGATCACTGCTTTTTTTTTACACTTGTATCGGCATATAATTTACATACTGTACACAATTCAGCAGCATTGCCTTTTTATAGAACTGTTTTTATAGATGGCTTGCATTCAAACGTGACCTTTGTTGGTCTTTTTTCTTTTCTATTTTTTTAGCTGTGGGTCATCGGGAAGAACTGCTGAGAAGTCAAGTCTGAGTTTCAAATCTGATCAAGTGAAGGTAAAGCAAGAACCTGGGACTGAGGATGAAGTATGTAGCTTTCCCGGAGCTGTGAAACAAGAGAAGACGGAGGACGGCCGGAGGAGCGCCTGCATGGTAAGCCCCCACAGAGGGCTGCAGCAGCTCATTCAAGCAAGACCGCTCAGCACAATAGTGGTTCTGAGGACGCTGATATATTGCTGACCTCTCATGCCTGGCACAAGACAAATCCTGTGCCATTTGCTAATTCGACTGAAGATGCAACTGTGACCAATACTGTTTTGTTCTGAGTTCATTAATCATCTCGATAGTTGCATTGAGGCTCAGGCCACTGAAGATCCGTGGCAATCCTGGCCTTGTAAACTCCGCATCAAGGCTGTGGACACGAAAGCAGAAGTGTAATGATCAGAAAGTTTTGTGCCGGGAAGATTGCCTTTTGGCTTATGAGCAATTAATGGTTCTAGAGTTCCTCAGTTTGGGACATTTATTAATTTTCATAATTTAGAATGAAGTCCCTGTTTGTTTGGAAATTTCCACCTTGCTTTTCTCTTCCTGTCCACCCCAGGCTTCGCTTTCCACATGGCTGACACTTAGGAATTTCATCTCAGTAGTAGAAGGTTCAGCTCCTCATATGTAGATTTAGCGATCTGGAGACAGCAGAAGGACCTGCTTTTGGAGCAGTGTTAGCTATTTATCCAGAACTTGGTGTGGAAAGTTCTCCCATAAAGCATGTGGGTGCAAAAAGGTGGTGAAAGCTTTATTTTACATTTTCTTGATCTTCTTACATTAAAATGATGGGTCATCTGAGAACCAATTCTTAAGACTTCTCAAATGCTATGCAATTGATTCTGGTATGAAAAATAGTATGGTGTTGGTAGCTTTTTAAGAAAAGTGCATGCTGCTTCCCAATCACTATGCTTAAGGGTTTAATTACTTTTATTGGTCTTCTAAAATCATATTGTAACATGTCTAAATAGTTTTGGAGTTATTTTCACTCGTTTTTTGCCAGTCATGTGACTCATAAAAGAATTAAAAGTGTTTCTTCAGTATTTTGATATACATATTGACATTTAAAAGCACATACACGTACACATATTGTATACAATAAAGATTAAATGATTCTTCAAGAATGTGTTGTTCCCTTTTAGTTGAGCAGTCCTGAGAGTAGCTTGACACCACCTCTCTCAACCAACCTGCATCTAGAGAGTGAGTTGGATGCATTAGCAAACTTGGGAAACCATGTGAAGACTGAACCTACAGACATGAGTGAAAGCTGTAAGCAGTCAGCACTCAGCAGCCTTGTGAATGGAAAATCCCCAGTACGCAGCCTCATGCACAGGTCGGCAAGGATTGGAGGAGACGGCAACAGCAAGGATGAGGACCCAAACGAAGACTGGTGTGCTGTCTGTCAGAACGGAGGGGATCTCTTGTGCTGTGAGAAATGCCCAAAGGTCTTCCATCTAACTTGCCATGTTCCGACACTTCTTAGCTTTCCAAGGTGACAGTGAAATGATTAACTATTTGAGGGGAGTTGTTTTTGTAAGCTTAAAAAGATAGCAAGAAAAAAAAATATATATATATAGCAAGAGGGGAGGGGTTACAGTGGTGGTGGTAGGGTGATAAAAGGGAGGGGACATCAAGGAGTCCATGTAGAAAAGATTGTTTGGAAAGTGATTGTGGTAGCAATTGGACAATTCTAATTGATGTGATTGAAATATGGAATGATAAGATACATGTATGTATGAAAATCCCAACTAATTAAAAAAATAGCAAGAAGTTAGTCAGGAGGAATGGCCTTCAATCTTATTACTTATCTAACACAAAACCAAATGCAACTAAACTCACTGCCATTGAGTTGATTCTGACTCGTTGCGACCTTATAGGACAGGGTAGAACTGCCTCTGTGGGTTTCTGAGACTAAATCTTTATGAGAGTAGAAAGCCTCACCTTCCTCCCAAGGAGCTGGTGGGTGGTTTCAAACTGCTGACCTTGCTGTTAACCCACTGCGCCACCAGACTCATTATAAAACCAGGATTTACTAGTCCTTTGGGAATCCCTTCAGAAAAAAATGGCCAAGATTTGAGTGCTTTGTTAATGTTAAAGAACAGGTTTTATCTCTTGACCTTCAGTTTATACTCAGTATAAATTGGTTAGATAAAACTTAGTTATGAGGGACAAGGGAATTCCGGAGTGTTGGAAAAAGTTTGTTTACTTCTGAAGCAGAACTTTATTTTATAACCATTACTCTAAGAGCATCTATGATAATGATTTAGTTTGTGAGGAGCAGTGAAAAGCTCTTCAAGTGCGATTTAAATTTGGGGGGGTGTAAGTTATATTTAAGGAATGCATTCAGTGTCTTGAAATGGTTAAGGGCCCTCCTTCCCCCTTTTAAGAACGAGTTTTCTCTTGAGTACTGAAACAGTTAAGTGGTAGTGATTAGGTATGTGCAGATTTCCCTGTGTGTTTCTTTCTCAGATCGGCCAGTAGGAATGTCTCCCATTCATTAACTTTGGGGTGAACAGTTGTTGAAATACTTATTTAAGTGAGAAGTACTTGGAGTAAAAATGATTAAAAAGAGATTGGGGAAAATTATAAGTTGTTCCCAGACTGCTTTGACCTAGTGACTAAAGAGGGCAAACCAGCCAATACTGTAAACAGAGCAAGTGTGCTGGGCTGCAGGTGCAGTCATACTTCTGTATTGCTAACATATTGAACTAACAGAATGAGCTTGAACAAGTCACTGGTTTTTTTTAGAGATTCACTTCTGCACCTAATCTCTGGGTCCCTTCCAGTTAGCAGTTTGCATTTTGTGTTGACATAGAACCTTAGATCTCAGAGAGCAAACAACAGTGAAGTTATGTTTCTTTCAAATGCCACCTTTCCCTCATCTACCCAGTGTCTGCCCCACAACATCCTCCAAATGAAAGTAGACTTTCTGGATTCAAAAACTGGTATAACTAAGTAGGACCAGAATGGTTTTTTGAGGAATTGTGTATAATTCTTACCTAAAGCATATGAGGCATAGGTGTTTGACTGGGATAGAATTTCATTTCTTTTTTAGAAAACTAAAGGTTGGCATTTGGTTTTGAAATTCAGATTTTTCATATTTCAATTTTTAGACAGTGACATCTATTGGAATGTCAGGATTTCAGCACTAAATGCTTTCTCTCAGGGGCAGAGTGATTTGGAAGGAATTGTAAAGTGTTGGCACAGACAGTTGTACCATCCCATCCCGAGACTTGTTGTCATACATGCAGATTTTTGCTTATAAATGTGTTCTTTATATATACACTTTTAAAATGTACTATTACAGAGAATAAGTGATTTGGGGTCCTTGATAGAAATCCTGATGCAAACAGATTATAAAGACAAAATTTAGAGGTAAAGGGTGTTTGTGCTCACAGGTGTGTTCTAGGTTTGGCTATCAAATGTAAAAAGAATTTCATGTTTTTTTGCTTACTGAGTACATGGGTCCATGTGGTGGTAGTTATTAATGTCTTAAGAGAATTGTTCTTATGTCATAAGTTCTGAATTTGAACTTTGTGCCAGAAAGAGATGCAGAAATACCATTGTTTATAATGCATTCCAAGGGGTAATTATTTGAAGGTTTTGGGGAAGGGTTCTTAGACTGCTTCATCTTGTGAAATTTGGTAAGACTGCCCTAAACTGGAAACTATGGAAACAAACGAGACTCACCACCAGGAAGCACAATTCCTCTGAATTAGGCTCTGTTACAATGATGTGGACTAATTACCTATTTTTCATGTTTAGTGGGGACTGGATATGCACATTTTGCAGAGATATTGGGAAACCAGAAGTTGAATACGATTGTGATAATTTACAACACAGTAAGAAGGGGAAAACCGTGCAAGGGTTAAGCCCTGTGGACCAAAGGGTAAGTGCCCATTAAGTTGCTTGTTAGGAGTTTTGTAGGGCTCTGCTTATACATCAGGTTTTTCCCCCCCGTTAGTGTAACCTCATAAATTGCAATTTTTAGCCTCAGCTTGTAATACTATGTTGATATCGTTCAAAATTTGTATGTCTAGTTGAGCTCAAGCTTCTATCTCCAGTTTCTTCAAACTTAAGATAATTCAACTAAAATCTTGATTTTCAATAGTTGGTAACAGCATGGCAACTACTTCGCTCCCTATTCCCCATCATTGAAGGACACCCCCATTCACCACTGTTGCCTACACCAGAAAAAACTATTAGAAGGGGTGGGGGTGGGGGTGGGGGAACAAGAATGGCTACTGTACTATTCTTAATATCCTCAGTCATTGGGACCCTGACCCAAACTCCCTGCCATCCAGTCGATTCTGCCTTGTAGCGACCTCTCTTACTTGTCAACAGAGTAGAGCTGTTCTAATGAGTTTCCTGGGTTGTAAATCTTTACAGCAGCAGAAAGCCTCTCTTTCTCCTTCTAGGAGGCCAGTGTACTCAAACTGCTGACCTTGTTAGCCACTCCAACGTGTAACCCATGACACCATCAGAGCCTAGACATCCTTTTTAATTTCTCATGTGAATGTTGTAATAGCCTCTCTGCTTCTACTCTTTGCTCCCTTACATTCTGTGCTTTCTTGCTTTTGTTTAGAATCCACATAAAGCTTCCTATATTTTTTAAAGAAAAAAAATTCCAAAATCTTTTTCTCACTTCATTTAGATTATTTTCAAAGAAGCTTTTCGTAGCTATCCTAAATAGTCAACTCTTCCTAGTGTGTTATAAAGTCTTTAAAGTTGCTCTGTCTTGTTTATTGCTATTTAGAATGCATGGATACATGCTTAGTAAATAATCTGTTGAATGAATGAATGAAAAAGGCCTTACAATTAGTTTTAGTAGTACCTATGTTACTTACTATTTTGTTGTTTGGTCTGTAATAGATCTATGGACATAACTGATAATATTTTGTAGGTTGCCTTTAAAAGAAACAACACCCCTCCAATTATTAGTTATAATACGTAATAAACATGCATAATTTTCTGAGTATATAAGTTAAATTAGATAAATTGAATAATTCTGTAGCAACTTTGCATTAAAGCGGCTTCTCATGAGAAAGAATAACTGGCTGTCCGCAAGTTTTGCATCCATAGATTTAACCAGCTGCAGCTGGAAAATAGTAGGAGGTAGAGGGAAGTTCCTAAGTGGTCAGAGCAATCTTCAAAGGCTAAGAGGGAATGTGAAGGGCTATTGACATAGCATTTACATTTCATTAAATAACTTAAACAATACAGAGATGTTTATAATGAAAGATAGGGACACCAGAAAACGATTAATTGGCGTTGTATTTCAATTTTATTCCTGACAATTAAAAAATTCTGGATTGAGAAGAGGTGGCATGCTCTATATAATTTTGAAGTTGAAGGGAATCATTTGAAGAAGGGGTTCATAATAGGGATAATAAAAGCACTTACCCTCCCTGCCCCAAGGAAATAACATTGAGGAGCATCGGTGATAATGCATAGATCGCCGGGCACTTTCACACAAAATGCTGAATGTTAAAATTATGACTCCTCTCCATTTTTAGAAATAAACAAGAGTTAACTTTAGTTAACAAATTTGGTCTTTGATAAGTTCAGTTAATTAAAGTACAGCAGAGATAGTCTTAAAATGAAATGGGATGCCAAAGTGAATTAGGGTAGATCTGTTTATTTGGATAGCTAACTGCAGGAAACTTATGTTGAACCTATTAGAATAATACATTGTAGTTATATAGCTCTCCTTCCCAAGAATATTTTATTGAGGGGGGGAAATATTTCATGTGCTTTCTTTTGCTTTTTTTGGGGCCAGAAATGTGAACGTCTTCTGCTTTACCTCTATTGCCATGAATTAAGTATTGAATTCCAGGAGCCAGTTCCTGCTTCGGTGAGTTCCCTACCCTAGCAGCTCCTTGGGAAGAAAAGTCTAATGGAATGGTTAAGATTATGGGCTATGGTGTCAGAATTCAGGCTTCTGAGTAAGCACCCCAATTTCTTTGATAGACTCAGTTTTCTTTTTTAATTTTGTTTTTTGCCTCGTTGAGTTATTCTGAGGATTAGTTAAGTGTATAAGTTGTTTAGCGTAGCACCTGATAACATCACATTAACTCACTGCCATCTGTTCTGTTGTGACCCATAGTGGCTCTATCTGGCAGACTACAACTGCCCCTGTGGGTTTCTCAGACTGTAACTCTTTAGGCGAGTAGAAAGCCCAGTCTTTCTCTCAGAGTGGAACTGCTAGCCTTGCAGTACCCCACTATGCCACCAGGGCTATCTGATAACATAATAAGCACTTAGAATGAATCAAAAATTGTTTTAGTGTTAGATGGAAGTGACATTCCATCACTAAAATTACAATTTGTTTTTGAGGAATGTGTTGCCTTAATCTTTGGTGAATTTAAATTTTCATAGCCTTTTAAAAGATGGACCTGAAAGAAGCAAGTAGAATGGGAAATATTATTAGGCATCAGAAGATTTGATTCTGCCATTAACAAACTATAAATTTGAGGAGATTACATAGTTCTCTGCCTCTACTTTTTAAACTACAAAGTGGGAGTATTACACTAAGTTATTTTAAGATTTCAGTTTTGCTTATAGGCTCTATTCATGGGGAGGAGGCTTTGTGAAAATATGCCTTTGACTAAAAGTATAAAACGGAAACTTTCATACTAGCTTTGCCTTTATGAACTCTCTATGAACAGTAACATGGGGAAAAAATTGGAGAAATTATTCAAGTCAGTGCTTTTTGCCTGTAAGGTGACTTTGATAAGAAATAGAGTTTCTCAAATCCTGTAATAAAAGCTAGACCAGAGGTATGCAATACCTCAAAGTGGGATGAGATTGTGCTACACACATTCTTTTGCTAGCTATCAGTTGTTGAATATGATACTGTTGAATAGCACGTATGTTCCAGAATATGAAATGGCACTAGCCACGAGTACCAGGTAGGCTGAGAAGTGAATTTAAATCACAAAAGCCTTAGACACAAGAAAGATGTTTTGTACATATAGTACTAATCTGATTATAGGATGTGCATTGAGTCTTCAAGTTCAGCTACTTCACATTAGAAAATGACTTTCAAAAGTTTTCTTTTTTGTGGACCAATGAACAGTTTTCATCATTTTCAATTCTATTCCAAGGCCAGACATTTTTGGCCAGTGCTCTCCAGCATGCTCAATTAATGGTGAATAGGAAGTTTACAACAATCTTTCCCACTCTCCTATATCCTCTAAAAGACATCATATTCAAACACTGGTATATTTTGTAGGTTTTGTTTGTTTTTATAATACCCTTCAGGGATCATAGGTAAAAATTCTTTCAAATATACTTGTCATTAAAGAATAGGGCCTTGGGACTTCCAGTACATTGATTCATACTCTGAGTGAAACATACTCTGAATAACATGGTTCTCATGGTGTGATAAGGGTGTAAACGATTTAAAGTGTACCTGTTGTTGGCATTGGTACCATTGAGTCAGTCCCTACTCAAAGTGATCCTGTGCACATCAGAACAAAGCCCTGTGCAGTCCAGTGCTATCCCCACAAGCGTTCCCTTGTCTGAGCGAGCCCACTGTCGTAGCCAGCCTCAAACCATCTCATTGACAGTCTTCTTTCTCTCTACCTCCACTTCACCAGTGCGACCCCTCTGTTAGCCCTATCAGTGTAATATGCCCCAAATTCATAAGACACACCTACTGTTTTTTTCTTTAAAATTAATATTTTCCCAATGAAATGGTTTAGCATTTTGGGGGGAATTCTTTTTGACCTTATTTAATTATTTTTTTAGATCCCGAACTACTATAAAATTATAAAGAAACCAATGGACTTATCAACCGTGAAGAAGAAGCTTCAGAAAAAGCACTCCCAACACTACCAAATCCCAGATGATTTTGTGGCTGACGTCCGTTTGATCTTCAAGAACTGTGAAAGGTTTAATGAAGTATGTTAGCTTCCAGATTACAGTTTGGGGTTTCTAGTTTCTGATGCTTTGCGCTTTAAATTTTTTTTGGATTTTGTTTTTCTTATCAAAAGATTTTTCTAACTTGATTTTTAAAGTTTTTCCTTTTTGCACCAGTCCTGCCCAAAGTAAAATTCTGTTATATCCATAGTTCCACAAAACAAAAAAAGAAAACCTACTGCATATAATGCGGAATATATTCTTAAAAATAATAAATTAAAATAATATAATTTAATATCCCTTCCTGAATGAATTTAAGGTTGGGATAAATGTGGGGATATTATAATAAACAACCCACATTTCAAGTACATTTAAATAAGGTTCTGGTTGTACCTGTATCCTTGTCTTTAGATTTTATTAATATTGGCTATATAAGTGCAGGGCCCTAAAATCAAAAGCTAATCTTTGGTTACTCATCTTGGATAGAAACCCAGAGCATATAGTATTGAGTTTTCAGATCTAAGCAATGTGAACTGTTATTAATGTTGGCTGTATACTTTTTTTGAGGCTAAGAATAAGTAATCCTATGAGAAGAAATACGATATATAATTCTTTCAAGGAAATAGCTCTTGTTATCTCTAGGATAAAATCAAGTCTCTTACTGGTAAAAATATTTTTATTGTAAGAGAAGAACATAGAATTTGATGAGAATTTAAAAGTTTTCAAAAGATTATTATTTTAGTATCAATACGCTCCCTCTTTATTGCTAATGAAATTTGAATGCCATGAGACTATTCAAGTAAGTCACATTGAATTATTCCAAGTGTAGCCATAGCTATCACTAGAAGTATGCAGAAGACTTTTAAAGTAAATGTGAAATTAAAGATGAAACATACCCAAAAAACCCTCCAAACACGAAAAGCCTATAGTTACCATTAAAACAAACCTTTAGGATAGCAAGCTGTCACAAAAGACACGTTAACACCTCGCCAATTTGAATTTATATTTAGAAAGTACATTCCAAGATTATGTTCATTGAAATATGCTTTCATAAACAAGCTCCCATTTGGTCAGAAGCCCCCGGTACCTGCCTTAATTATAGTTGCAGATACAATTCTAATGTAGTGGTTTGAAGGTTTAATAATTTGCTTAAATAACATTGGCGTCACAAGAAATTTTTCTTAAGTATTCAGATCCATTTCTATTTGTATTGCCCTCACTAGTCTCAGGATTTGAGGCTACGACTGAGGTTTCACAGTAGCTTTAGTAACATCTTTGTAAAAGAAAGTGGTTCCATGTTCTAGAAATTTTAGAAAGCAGTTAATTTTGTCATAGCAATTTGCTCTCCCTCGTATGGCTGACTAGTCACCAAGCCTATACAGTCTCATAACTTTAGAAAGGATTATAATTTCCCTTTTTTTTGACTCTGGTATCCTTTTTAGATGATGAAAGTTGTTCAAGTTTATGCAGAAACACAAGAGATTAATTTAAAGGTAAGCGTTTCAGACCATGCAAACTTGGTGATGGACTATGCATTACCCATAGTGACTACTCCTATCTTTTGCTTGCAGGCTGACTCAGAAGTAGCTCAGGCAGGGAAAGCAGTTGCACTGTACTTTGAAGATAAACTCACAGAGATCTACTCAGACAGGACCTTCGCCCCTTTGCCAGAGTTTGATCAGGAGGAGGAGGATGCTGAGGTAACCGAGGACTCTGATGAAGACTTTATTCAGCCTCGCAGAAAACGCCTAAAGTCAGATGAGAGACCAGTACACATAAAGTAAAATGATGTGGACTTCAATCACTTGTTTAAACAGAAAGAAAAAGGGGGAAAAAAAGAAGAAAAACAAACCTTTTATTTAAGTGTTGCTGGAATATCCTACCTAACTTGGCCACCTTCTTGAAGCTGGTAGCTCTTACAGTATTAGATTGAAATAATGGACAGAAAACACATTCTTGTCGAAAAAAGGTTGGGGTGTGGGGGGGGGAAGACTTTTCTTTGCAAAAGTGAAATGGTATAAAGGTTTTTGTTACTAATGAGGGTGGTTGTCTGAGACGGTGATCCTTTGGTACTGATTGGTGCAGTATATTGGATGTACCAGTAAATATTCAAGGGCCATGTCCCTTGATCGATTATCCTTTGAATTAGACTGCACCATTAATAAAACAACTTTTTGCCTCCCCCTCAACACTCATGCATACCAGGCTCTTTTCTATGTAAAATGCAAACAGCTCAGATTCCACTTCATTGTCAAATCAGATGCTCATGGAATCATGCCATTTTTTCTCCTTTTGATGCTGTTGGGCCTTAGTTTTTATATTGGTTGAAAGAGCTCAATAGTAATTTCATTTTCTACTCCTGTAGGGTCTAGGAAACATGACACTTGATCATCACCTAATAAATTTTTATTGTCTCTTGAACTTATGAGGTCAGCAACGTGTGGTTGAAATAAATATAGTAACTTCTCAGTAGTGGATCATGTATGTGTGTAGTAGTCATTTCCAAAAAACATGTCCACACAGAGGCATTTCCCAGACAATTTGATAATTCAGTCATTCCCATGAAAGGCAGAATGCTTGTTTTAAAATTAATCTAGTTTTCTGTACATATAAATTTGCTTGAGAAGGTGGCAACTGGCTTCTATCCAGTCTTCCTTCAAAACAGTTTTTCTGATAGACCACTATTGGCAAACATTAATCTGTCAACTACCAAATGTGTAAAATTTTCTGTATTTCACTTTGTCTTATTTGTAAATAGTGAACTAAAACTTCTGGCAGATCAGCAACATTTGCTGAGCCTGTTTTTTAAGCTAATGTGTATTCTTACTAATGTTCCTATCAAGAATGGATTTGTAATATATGCTGTCTATTTCTAATGTTCACATTCATATTTTGAGGTTCTATCTTATTTTAATAGAGAACAGACTTCTCAAAAAAATCTTCAGAAGCAGCTTATTATTGAAATATCAAAATATTAAAATAAACCCGGTGGGGTTAGATTACTCATCTGTCCACAAAGTGGGACATTTGCATGGACTGGGGGCCTAAAGGACTTCTAAGAGGCCTGTAAGTAAATCCTGAAATTGAGCCAATCCCCACTTTGAAGGTCACGGGAGTAAAACCCACCTCTACTGACAACACCCGAGGCAGATGAACCAGCTTGGCTTTGGTTCCTTGTTCTTTTCATTTTTGATGCTCAGACCCCACAATGTGCATTCTAGACTGTGCACTTTTTTTGCATTGGGAAGTTTAGTCCTACTTTTGTATGGGCACACTAGAATATAAAGTGACCAAACTAGAAGAATTTGTCACTAGGTATTTTTCAGAAGTCATCAAATTATGGCAAGCCATTTGCCCCTTTGAAAAATCTGCTTAAGCAGTTCAGACAGTAGTAGACTATTAAGAAAATTATTTGACGTAATTGTCTAAGAGGTAAATATTTTTAGTGTATATTGAATCAAATAAAGTACTCTAAAGAAATTATTCTGCAAATTCCTTTGGGTCTTTTTTTTTTTTTTTTTTTTAAACCCTAAGGGGTGGTGGTAAACAAGAATAATGATTCAGGCCTTCTGGTGATGTGTTTAAAGAGTATTTTAATCGTTGCTTTTGGATTTGATTTCTTGGCTTACTTTTAAAAGCTCCTCTTTCAGTTTTTTGTATATTTTTCATGTCACATACCCACAAAGAGAGTGAGCATAGGGAAAGTAATGTGCTGGTAAGGGTTTGGGCGGGGGGGAAAAAACAGCACTGCACATGGACAAATTTCCCAAACTCACCAAGCTATTTTATCATTTTACTCCAATTTCAAATTCCTAAGAACTTTCTTAGTAGGAAGGGAGGAGTGTATCATTTGAAAATGCTCTCTTCCACATCCTTATGCCTCTCTCCCACACAGTTTTAATTGCAATTTAAAAGTAGACATATATGGACGGGCACATATTAGGAAAACCTTCAGTGAGGAATAGCAGTATAACGTCTCTTTTCAAGCCTCAGATTTCTAGTATTTTGTGCTTACTCATCATATGAATCCTTGTAATGATTCTCGATAGCTTCATGAATAGGCTCTGCCATCTGCGGGGAGAAACAGATTTCAAGTAAATGTTTTATTTCTCGATATTCGGGGCTTCAAAGGATAATGTGTACCCTTAAAAAATTCGCATGCTACATGGAGTTTTTGTTTGTTTGTTTGTTTCTTTTAATATAAGATTGGTTCTGAAAGGCCACTTTATTGTCAACATTCACCAGGCTCCTTTTCAGTTAACAGAAGCTATTTTATACTGCTGAGGAATCATTCAGTCGATAGCTCTTAACAAGCCACCAAGAAATGGAAGTGTTCATTTTGGATTTTATGGAAGCTTTTTCCCCTTGCACACTGATCACTGTGTTTCTAGGCTGATAGCTTCAGCTCGAATATAGATTGTGGTAAAAAGTGTAAAAACATAATAAACAGATGTATGCGTTCCTATTTGTGCTTTTAGGAGCTCTGGTGGCCTAGTGGGTTGCTCTCCCTGGGAGAAAGATCTGGCTTTCTACTCCCATAAAGAGTTACAGTCTCGGAAACCCACTGCAGCAGTTCTACCCTGTCCTGTAAGGGTCCCTTATGAGTGGAAACTGACTCCGTGGTAGTGAATTTGGATTTATGCTTTAAAAAGACTTAACCTAATATACCTATCAACACCTGAAGGCAGTTTGTTACTCTTACATTTGTAACCTTTGTTAAAAGGTAGTGTTTGAGGGTGTTTTTTTGTGTGTGTTGTGTGTTGGGGGAATCTATATGATGTTTTCTTAGAAACATCTAAATCTTTTGCCACACTTTAACTTCCTTTTTTCCCTCAGAAAACTAAGAACACAGTCTTCCTCAATCTGTCCCCCTGGCCTAAAACAGTCTCTCAGCACGTGGGCCTCAGCCCCATTCACTGAGTGAAAGCGTTGCTTTGCCAGGTGAGGCATGTGGAAATCCCAAAGTAGGGTTATTTTATGGAAATCTTGCACCCTTCTTACAGAGAAAGAAGTTATTGGGTCCACTGAAAGTTATGTTTTGAAATTAACACCAATGTTTTCTAACTTCTGTTTCTTATGGAAGGGGATTTAAAGGAATTTTAAGTCTGTTAAGTCTCAACTTCTAACAGAGATTGAGTTTGTTTCTTTGTTTTGTTTTTTAGTTAATCCAAAGAAATAATGCCTTTAAATAGAAGTTAAAATTTATAGTGTGCAAATTATAGATTTATCAATTACCTCAGCAGGTATCCTGCCGTGTCATTATTAGTGATTAGTGTTACTAAGCCAACAGATTCAGGTTTTCTTGACTATGCCCTTGGATTGTGCCCTAGCATTCATATGTTATGAAAGGGTCACTTTCTCTCCAAAAAGAGGGGGTCAATGCTGTGTCTCCCTCTCCCTTGGCCTTTAAACCACTTCCCAATCCCCCAGTCACACACAACACATAATGTGTAAAAAAAAAAAAAAATCCTGTTTCTTGTTGAAGTTAGCCCTCTTAACATGCGTACTCAGTATGGGATCAGTCAGTAGTTTTATTCAGAAACGATCCACCCCACCTCCCTTAATGAACACAGTCATATTCCCATTCATACCAGGCATTCTTCATACATGCCCTCCCTCTGAACGGTCTGCTGAAGGTGAGCGAGGGCGGCAAGGTGTTTGAGGGGCTTCACAAGACTGGGCTGGGGTTCTTTTGTTTTTATTCCCTGTCTCTTCTGGAAAAAGCAATAACTGCTTTGCGCTTGTTGCCTAATAGCATGTCATGATTCTCTCCTTGATGGTGATTTTATAGGAAAGTTTGTATGCATATCACACCCAGTCTATCTTTTAAAAGTGAAGAAATGTAAATGTATGCTGGAGCTGATGACAATATATTGTGGCATTTTATTTTACAAATTGGGGAAAGTTGCATATTTTTTTAAAAGTAGGAGTTTGAGTAAAAAAAAATTGAAGGTACTTTTTTAAGAAAAAAAAATCTATATGCCACAGTTTACATAGACCTTTCAGATTCCAACAGGTACTCTTGGATATAATTCTTTCTCTCACTTGGTCAGAATGCATGTACAGCATTTCTTCCACTTAGTTTTCTGTGTTTGCCTATGTGGTCCTTCATATATTTTTTACTGTATATGAAAAAAGGCTATCTAAAAAAATAGGTTAATTTGGGTATATTTGTCATGTTGAAGTATAAAATGTACAAAATTAAGCTATGCCCTTTTTTTCAACAAGTGATCTTTCCAATGAAAGATAGTGTTCTTTGAAATTCACCAGATTTGTGTGATGGGAATGGGTGGAAAGGATTTTCTAAGTGCCACTGCAATATTCCCTTTCGATCGTGGCCTAAATTCCAATCCTAAGAAGGAACTGCATGTCTGCTCCTGGTCTGAAAATGGTCGGCCTTTACTGTGTTGAAAACAGTAAAACATGTATATAAACCTATGGGGAAAAAACGTGCAATTTGAAAGCCTGTTGATTTTCTCTGTAGACATACCTGCACACAAAGGGGTCAAATTCACAGCCTTACTAGTTCTTTGCTTTTCAATACTTCAACTGGTCTCCTATCATTATTTTTCCACATAGCTAACATTCTTCAATATGATTCTTAAAGTGCTGTTTCTGTGGTATCGTATTCTCTAAATAACCATATTTAATTTTTTAAATAAGGTTGCAGTTTCTAATTGTTTTGTTCCTGTGTTTTTTGCTGGTGTGTAATGAAAACAAGTTTTTTCTTTTCATGGTTATTTAATACATTAGCTGCCTGTAAATATTTCTTGTTAAAATGCTCTGGAATGTGTTGTAGAAGTTGTATTAGATTAGTTTAAAGCCTTGTTTGAAAACCATATTGTTTTGGTTATTTCTATTAAATTAGAAAATGGAAAAATTTTCAAATGAATTCTTTTTTTTTTCTTTCTGTGAGAATTAAGAAACTCAGTTCATTTATGCTCCGGGCTCCGTGTCGGAGAGACAGTAGTGAACAAAAGACAAGGGAGCCCCTGCCCTCAGTGTTAGGGGACTGCATGCTCTGCTCTAGAACAGCACACAGCATGGTAGGAACACACCAGCATCTCACCCAGACTATTAGGGACTCTCTTTCATTCATAAAAGATGACGACCCGGGACCAAGCAGAGAGTGGGATGAGAGACTAGAATGGGCATGTACTACAGGGTCTGAAAAGTTCAGTACAGCTGGCGCAGTGTCAGTTGGAGTGATAACACTCTGCTGGAGGTCCCAGACGGGTCTTCAGGAAGCAGAGACTTGAAGTTGCTGTTAGAGAGTTAGGAATTTACGCTGAGGAGGTTCTGGGGCTCTTTGAGAAGTTTTAAGCTGACTGGGTGGGTGTAGCACGAAGTTGCCATATTGAAAGCTCATTTACCTATGGAGAATGGACAGGGAGGAGCTTTGAGGGAGAAAAGCCTTTGTAGGCTGTGTGTGAGTCGTCCAGGTGATCTCTCCACTAGCTATCTGGTATTGAAGATGGTGACTAGCTGAGCTACTGTAGATTGACAAAGTAAAGTAGATGGCTGCTTGAATTCATGGTACTTAGTGGAGTTGCTTCAGAAGGTTCATATGATAACTGATTAAGGTATTAAAGTGGAAGAGAAAGGGATAGATTGGTGTTTGACATACCAATGAAAAATAGAGGTTTTTAGTGGTTATGAGAGATTTCTGGGCTGCTGGTAGCAATGAGGACCCATCATATAGGATTCAGGTATTGTATTCATTACTGAATATGCCTAGCAAGAACATAGTCGGGATTAAGTAAATAGCTTGAATTTAGGGGATCCACTAGTAACACAAGTGGTAACTCTAGCAGTGGAAGAGGAAAATTCCTAGGAAGTTTCTAGTATGAGATGAGTAGAATACTTACAACAGCAGAAGAAATAGCATCTAAAGACCAGAAGTTAGACACCGTCGAGTCAGCCCAGCTAAGCACAAAATACCTTTTACTCCTGTCATTGTGCTCGTCTGGCTTCTCTAGAAAAGCAAAACTAGTGGCAGCTTGTATGTGTGTATCCATCGAAAGATGTCTAGGGTTAAGTCCAGCCAGGTTCAAGTCCATGGGTCAGAAGTAAGCTAGAGGCTTCTGACTTATGTCAAGAGGCAGACGAACAGGAAGTGGGAAGACCACAGGCTGGTGGGTGCTGAGCTGAATGAAACAGAACAAAAAAACACCAAAAGAAAACCCCCCAGAGCGCCCCGGACACAGAACAACAGATCGATGAGCCAGGTCCCGCAGAAGTGAGCTTCTACACAGTGTCACAACCCGCACGAAACGTCCCTCAGCTGTCTCAAGGATGTGACAAGGTGAAGGAGCCCACAGCTGCCTGGCTGATTCACAGAAGATCCCACCCATCATGGAGTTGACCACACTGTTAGGTCATATGGGAGAGTCCTGGCCCAGCCACCTTGACAACTCTAAAAGTCATGATCATAGGCATGTTTGGGTTCATTGTTGCCGTGTGTGGTACCATCCATTCTAGGA